CATATCCTCAAACGTGATACCTGGCAGAACTTATAGTATGTCTGGAACCCACATACCCTCCAGCGTGACACCAGGCAGAACCGGTTTTGGGTCATCAATGGACATATCCTCAAACGTGATACCTGGCAGAACTTACAGTATGTCTGGAACCAACATACCCTCCAGTGTGACACCAGGCAGAACAGGTTTTGGGTCATCAATGGACATATCCTCCCACGTGATACCTGGCAGAACTTACAGTATGTCTGGAACCAACATACCCTCCAGTGTGACACCAGGCAGAACAGGTTTTGGGTCATCAATGGACATATCCTCCCACGTGATACCTGGCAGAACTTACAGTATGTCTGGAACCAACATACCCTCCAGTGTGACACCAGGCAGAACAGGTTTTGGGTCATCAATGGACATATCCTCCCATGTGATACCCTGCAGACCTTACAGTGTGTCTTCAGCCAACACACCCAATGTGACACCCAGCAGAAGAGGCATTGGGTCATCACTGGATACATTCATCAACCTGATACCAATCAGAACCGATATTGGGTCATCAATGGATGCATCCTCCCGCATGACACAAAACAGAACTTTTACCATGTCTTCAGTCAACACGCCCTCCAGTCTGACAGGGAACAGAACTGGTACTGGGTCTTCAGTCAACACATCCTTGTGTTTCAGACCACACAGAACCAGTTCTTTGCCTTCAGTCAGATCTTTCAGCCAGGATGTCTTATCCAGCACCAGAAGAAATCAGGGAATTTAATTATTGGAGTCCTGGTCATGTCAGTTTTCTTAAGCAATATCCTAGCTTCTCTTCAGAAGGAAAAACTCCAGCAATGTAAAAAGAGCTAATTAAAGTACAGTTTGTATTGTACCTTTGTATTGTAGTTCAGTGTATGTGGTTTTTTGTCTGTAATTTCATATTTTTAGAAAATGTGCATACATATCTTCACATTTCTGTGTTTCTAAATTACTTGTACACCAAAACACTTATTTTCTTAACTATTATTTATGGCAATTAATAATTTTTATGTAGTATATTTTAAAATGTTATAAAACAACACCTTTTGTGTAGTTTTCTTGATTCTTGGAAAAAAAATCCACAAGCCATTTTGGTCTCTGTCTCTCAAAGTTGTTTCATACCTGCCTATCTTAAAGGACTACAATACTTTAACGGGATTGAGAGGGGTCCATGAAATGTACACCAGTGATTCCTCTTGTGGAATGTCATGGCCTTGCCATGAGCCTCTTCTTTTTCTTCTTTTCTTTTTTTCTTTTTTTTTTTTTTCCTCCTATCAGCTCAACTGCAGACGCACATTTAGTTGCAAACTTAAGCCAGATGAGCAAAATAAAAATGATGTGATGGGCCTTTGGGAGCACCCTTTCTGCTTTTTTGGTTGAGCAAGACTCTTGTCCAGGCAAAGAGATTTCACTTAGTGATACATAATCATTTGGCAGGAACTCTATTGATTTCTAGTAACAGCTGGAGGCCTGTATC